ATCCACCGTGCTGAGGTGAGCGGTGTGACGCACAGTGCAGAGGTGAGCGATAGGACGCACTGTGCAGAGATGAGCGGTGTGACGCACAGTGCAGAGATGAGCGGTAGGACGCACAGCGCAGAGATGAGCGGTAGGACGCACAATGCAGAGGTGAGCGGTGTGACGCACAATGCAGAGGTGAGCGATAGGACGCACAGTGCAGAGATGAGCGGTGTGACGCACAGTGCAGAGATGAGCGATAGGACGCACAGTGCAGAGATGAGCGGTGTGACGCACAGTGCAGAGGTGAGCGGTGTGACGCACAGTGCAGAGGTGAGCGGTGTGACGCACAGTGCAGAGGTGAGCAGTAGGACGCACAGTGCAGAGGTCAGCGGTGTGACGCACAGTGCAGAGGTCAGCGGTGTGACGCACAGTGCAGAGGTCAGCGGTGTAATGTAATGCGGTGTAATTCTGGCCTTACTCCGCGCCATGTCCGGTACTAAGGCACTCTCACCCACTGTGGGCCACCAGACTTCTGGGCTGTGGGAGGATAGTGGGAGGAGCCGGACAGTGTCAGTGTTCTATATATGTCCTCGAACGCACCACTTATGGTGGGGCCGCATCATACGAATCAGATGTTTTCATGACCCCCTTGCGTCATGCGCACCTGGAAGTGACAGTGGGTGGGAGTGACTGAGTCCCGGACATGGAGCGGAGTAAGGCCAGATCTATGTAGGGAGCCCAGTGGGAGGAGAGGCCCCTCCCCCAACCTGTCACCCCTTTCATGGACTTACTAGGAGTCCTCACATCTCTGATTGGTTTATTTTGCTATTCTTGTAATCAACCAAATCTCATAATAATTTTTATGGCTCACCTGTGTGGTGGAGAGGATCCAGTGATGAAATTTTAGAGAAAGGATCTCATCCAGGGATGTGATATGGTGCAGTAGATCCCGCTCACTCCAACTGAGTGGATCCGGTCGTTGAGTCTATTGGGTACGGAGTGGATCCAGTCGTTGAGTCTATCAGGTATGGAGTGGATCCAGTAGTTGAGTCTATTGGGTACGGAGTGGATCTGGTCTTCAGTCTATTGGGTATGGAGTGGATCCGGTCGTTGAGTCTATCGGGTACGGAGTGGATCCAGTAGTTGAGTCTATTGGGTACGGAGGGGATCTGGTCTTCAGTCTATTGGGTACGGAGTGGATCCGGTCGTTGAGTCTATCGGGTATGGAGGGGATCCAGTCGTTGAGTCTATTGGGTACGGAGTGGATCCGGTCGTTGAGTCTATCGGGTATGGAGGGGATCCAGTCGTTGAGTCTATTGGGTACGGAGGGGATCCGGTCGTTGAGTCTATCGGGTATGGAGGGGATCCAGTCGTTGAGTCTATTGGGTACGGAGGGGATCCGGTCGTTGAGTCTATCGGGTATGGAGGGGATCCAGTCGTTGAGTCTATTGGGTACGGAGGGGATCCGGTCGTTGAGTCTATCGGGTATGGAGGGGATCCAGTCGTTGAGTCTATTGGGTACGGAGGGGATCCGGTCGTTGAGTCTATCGGGTATGGAGGGGATCCAGTCGTTGAGTCTATTGGGTACGGAGGGGATCCGGTCGTTGAGTCTATCGGGTATGGAGGGGATCCAGTCGTTGAGTCTATTGGGTACGGAGGGGATCCGGTCGTTGAGTCTATCGGGTATGGAGGGGATCCAGTCGTTGAGTCTATTGGGTACGGAGGGGATCCGGTCGTTGAGTCTATCGGGTATGGAGGGGATCCAGTCGTTGAGTCTATTGGGTACGGTGTGACCTCTCCACCATCTGGCAGAACAGGAGGAATATTATATCATCAGATCGGAGGAGGAGGAGGAAGGAGGAGGAGGAGGAAGTATCACCCGGATTTCTAGGCTGTCTGTCCGGTTTTCTGACATTTCATAGCGGGGGAGGGTCAGAGGAGGATTATGGGGGTCTGACACCCCCAGATGACAGTATTGCCCCCCTGTGTCCGGGGGGGTGACCTCGCTGTCTGTGGTCGGGGAGAGTTTGGACTCATTTGTCACCTCGCCAGAATTCAGACATTTATATTGACACTGAAATTAAACTGCCAAAAGGAGCTTCACAGCAAACGGATCGGCGGAGAGTCAACAACGCGATGTAACCCCTTCCTGTCCTGTACAACATTCACTGAGAACATTCACCCAGAGTCATTCCTAGGAGCCGCCACCATTCACTGGGGCATTGGGCAGTTGAACAGCTGGGGGCGGCCTTAGTGTCAGTGGGGGCTGGGCTTAATCTTGACTTTGACAGAAGTCAAGGCTTTGTGTGAAGGGATCCAGGGGGACGGATCATGATTACCCCAACCCTAAGACCATGACAGGGTCACTTCAGTTCTGAGAAGACATACAATATGGTTCTGCTCCCTCATGGAACATAAACCAACACACAACATTCCCTGCCAGACAGCGCAGCCAGGTCCCTGATGTCCCATTCAGACTACACTGCAAGTAGGGATCATAGCTTGTCCCAAGGATTGGTGGTTGCCGGGGGAACGGTACTTGCCTGACTGCATTGTGCCAAGTGTAAAGTTTGTGGGAGGGAGGATTATTGGGGAGGGGGGGTTGTTCTGCCCGATAGAACACCTTTGGGATGAATTAGAGGCGGAGACTGCGAGCCCCTCCCCCAACATCAGCACCTGACCTCACAAATGGTCCAACATTCCCATAGACACGCCCCTAAACCTTGTGGACGCCTTCCCAGAAGAGGCGGAGCTGTTATAGCGGCAAAGGGTGGAGCCAACCCAATACTGAACCCTACGGACTAAGACTGGGGGGACCATTAGAGGGCGGAGCCAACCCAACGCTGAACCCTACGGACTAAGACTGGGGGGACCATTAGAGGGCGGAGCCAACCCAACGCTGAACCCTACGGACTAAGACCGGGGGACCATTAGAGGGCGGAGCCAACCCAACGCTGAACCCTACGGACTAAGACCGGGGGGCCATTAGAGGGCGGAGCCAACCCAATACTGAACCCTACGGACTAAGACCGGGGGGCCATTAGAGGGCGGAGCCAACCCAATACTGAACCCTACCGACTAAGACTGGGGGGCCATGAACCCCTTTGTGACGGGAGACGTATACTGTACGGGACTAGTTATTTGCTGCTCTGCAAGGCTGGTAAGCGCTGAGAATCATTCATGGACGGGTCAGTACTGAGGGATCCAGTAATGAAAGAGTTAACCTTTTCCAGGAATCGGGCCCCTGAGAGCGAGCGGAGCCACATTTGCAGCTCCTGCCGGCACTCTGACAGCCGGTATAGATCGGGAATCCCCGTGTACACCGGCTTTCTTTTTGTTTTGTTTTTTTACTTTCCGGATACAATGTTTCATTGTTGTAAAAGAGAAAACCT